TTACCTGCTGAACCAGAAATAGAGAGCAATTTTTAAAGGAAGAGAGGGGAGGGAAGGTAATGAGATCTTTAAAAGGATAAATACCTTGGCGTGTCTATGGCATGAACTTGCACGGCCAATTTCAAAAATGGCCACTGAGGTACTCTAGAAGGTCATGGTCATAAATGAATTCATACCAACAGCTTCCTGTCATTTAGACTGTTGGCAAAAGGGAGATTTCCCATGTCTGTGATTTTTCTAATCACTCTATGCAAACAGAAAGACAGTTAACTACTTTTGGAGTCATTTGAGCTCAAAGTGGCTAACAAACAAATAATCTGTTCAAATAAATAAAAATTACAACTGTTGTATAGTATATTATATCTTGATAAATGTTCATCTGATAGACTTTGATGAAGTGATTTTTTTTAACTCATAGTTTAAATTCCTTAATTTATTCATCCAACAGACAGCCCTTAGGACATGCCAGGAGCTATGCTAGAACTCAATATAATTAGGAACACAGTCCCTGGCAGTAATGGATTTAAGCTGGTCAGTAAGACAGTCACATGAACAGAGACTTAGAAAACAGTGTGACATGTAAAATGATGGCGAGGTATACAGGTTTACGGACCACTGAGGGAAACCCAATCCAGGCTGGAGCAAGAATGAAGAGAAAAGACAAGGGTCAGAAAAGACGTCCAGAATATAGCAGTACTTAAACAGAATATGAATAAGCCTGGCCTCTTTCCCTATGAGTCCCATAGACTACAAATAAGGTATTTTTTTCATCTTTCTTTTAGTCACATTATAAAGGCTGTGAATCCTAGGGATCAGTACTGCAAATAACTGGATAATCGAGCAGGGTTTGCATGTTGCTGCAAAAATGATGAAGCATCCTAAACCAGCCAGGGGGACACATGGAGGGTCCTCTTAGTGGTGTCGATGTCTCTGCAGCATTGCAGATTATGGCTGGAATGGGGATATCTAGGTGTCTAACCAAAAACACGAGAGCAGTGATGGCGAACCTTGTAGAGACTAAGTGCCCAAACTGTAACCCAAAACCCACTTGTTTATCACAAAGTGCCAAGATTTCAATTAAACCTGAATATATGAAAGCTCAAACGAGTCATGGCTAATAAGTCACAGCTGTTAACACCAACACCTGGGGCCTACTCCTTTCTGACCATGCGCATGACCACTGTGCACGCTCTTATCAGATACTGGGCTGCTAGGGTGATGCTGGGGTGATGCTGGGGAGACTCGGCTCACCTGCCAATAGAGAGGGCTCTACGTAATCGTGGCTGCATGCACACCACTAGTGCACCACTGCACTAGCCCATCAATCAACAAGTATGATGGTCACATAATGTAGTGACATTTAGGTAGATTTTGTTCGTCAAGCTCTCCCAAGCTAAACAGCTTCTGCAATCACTCATCCTTCCATAGTAGTCATGTCAGGAGGACACAATCACAAAGTGTGCATAAGAAAAAGTTCTCAAGTTCATAGCTTAGAAATCTTTATTTCAGAGGTGGTTCCTGACAGGAAACTTGCTCGCATGAGATCATGAAGCTATTTACTAACAGATGAAACCAGGGCTAGGTCCTTTCTTTATTTTAAAAAATTGGGGCTTGGGATAAAGCTCAGTGATAGAATGCCTGCTTAGCAAGCATGAGACCCTGGATTTGATCTCCAGGATCACAAAATAAAATGTACATTCATTAAAAAATTGAATGATACCTAAGTTCCAGGCCCTGTGGTAGATATGAGTACAAAATGTATACACATTATTTATCATTCTTGTTCCACCCATCCCCATACCACAAATATCACGTAATTTCACCCACAAATACTCTGGGTGTCTTCAAAATATGAAGACTTTTTATAAAACTTAACCACCATTATCACTGCCCTCAAAAATAATTCACTACCATCAAATACCCAGTCAGTACTGAAACTATCTAATTGATCTTAAATGAGTTTTTAAGATTATTTTGTGTAAGTAGGTCCCACTGAGGTTCACACATTACACATTTGTTGATGTTACTTGTTGAGGAAACAAGGTCGTTATCAAGTAGTATTTCTCACAGTTTGGAGGTTGATTCCAACCTTAGTTTTCACACAATATACTCTTCTATCTTCTGATTTTTAAAAACTTCTATGAATTAGTACTTACATCCAGTGGCTTGATTAGATTATCTCAGTTTTCTGATAAAATACTTCATGAGTGGCTCTGTATACTTTTTGTTTTTGTTTTTGTTTTTTGGGTACTAGGGATCGAACTCGGTCCTTGTGCTTGCAAGGACTATTTTTTTTTTCCGGACTATTTTAGGAGGTGTGAGATACCTAGTTGTCATTCTTTTTGGGAGGTCATAAGTAATCAGCAGGTGTTGTCAAACTGATTCACCTATTCTAAAGTTCCAAAGGTGCTATTTTAGATAGGGTGTGGGCCTTTGGGAAGGTGAATTTTAAACTGTGACCTAAAGGACAGAAAGCTGCCTACAAAAAAGGAAGAGTGTAGGGGTGGAAACCCTACAGTGAGAAAGAGCTTGCCATGTACCCAACAGCCCTTCTCAGGTACTTAGAGCTTTTCTTTCCATGCTCCACTAATCCCAGTAACTTTTCCAGCCTCTGAAAGGTGAGAGCAGAGACCCTTCTGCCTGCTGGTGTCAGTAATCAGTGGCACTTTCAGGTGCACGCAACCTCAGATACACACCTTTGCTCTCCTGAAAATGTTTAGGATCGGGACTATTTTGACTTAATCTGAACCTGAGACCAAGGTGAGAAAACAGCACAGTTTCTCTCAAGACCTGGCTACTTTCCTGAGCATGACAGCACGGAAGACATTGCTTCTGAGGGTACGAATTATTTGCTCACTTGCTATGCCAGTCTTCTTTGCTGGAATGCTCTCCAACAGACTTAAAATAGCTGCAGTTCAACTTTCTCTTCCATAAAATAGAGAATGTGTCAAAACTTGCATCGCAGGTTATTACGAGTATTAAATGAAATAGATTGTGAAAGTTCTTGGAGAAACACGAGATATTTGTTGTGCTTAGAGATACAGTGTCAATGCAATACATAGATATTGGTTCACACAATTGTATAACTAATCACCTCCCTTAAAATGTTTATTAAAATTCATCCTTTCTCTGAGTTCCAACTACAGTAAACCCCAAAACTCAGTGATAACATCTAGTATACTATATACCACATCATAACATTTCCTTCAAACCCTATCAGGAATATCTTAATAGAAAACAGGCTCAGGAAGGTTAGGTGTTAACTGAGAGCGCATATACAGTGAGTGGCAGAGGCCAGACTCATATAACTGTAGTTATCGCCACTTAAACCAAGTTACTGAAAATTTACATTTTAAAAATGGCTCCATTAGCTGGGTGTGGTGGCGCACGCCTGTAGTCCCAACACTTGAGAGGCTGAAGCAGGAGGATTGCTCCAAGTTCGAGGCCAGGCTGGGTTACATAGTTGAGTTCAGGGCCAGCCTGAACTACAAAGCGAGATCCTGTCTAAAAAATAAAAAAATAAAGGTTCCATTAAAAAGAAAACTGATTTTATAACTCCGTGGTAGACTAACTTAGTGTGGGTGGCCCTGGGCTTGACCTCCAGCACTGGAAAAAGAACATTTCTCATCAACACTGAACAGATTAATTGCTCCTGAGATTCTTTGGGAGAAGCTTATTCTATATTCCATCTCTCATTCTTACAAGATGATAATAATTGAGAGGCAAGATTTAAGTTTACACTTTTCTGTTCCTAGATTATTTTCTTCAGCTCCGCTATCAAAGTTAAGATATTTGAGTCACTGTCCTCAGACAACTAGGGAAAGAAAGGGAGACAGGATACAAATGCTAAACTGTACAGTCCAGGAAAGAGGTAACGATGAATCGGGACAGTCGAAGAAAGTTTCAGGAAAGAGGTAGAACTGTGGACCAGTAGGAGATGGATACTCAGAAGAAAACAGTGGGGCCCTCCAGAGAAGAAGTTGGGAACTAGAGCGGTCTCTTAAAAACACGAGAATGCATTGTCAAGGAGCTTGAGTTGACTGGTAGCTCTGTTTTCCGCTGACATCATGAAAAGATGAGATCTTGCAAGTTAACGGGCCTTATAATGTAAGAACGGCTGGAATACGAGTGATAAACCTTGATCCAAGACTCGAGATCACATCCCGGAGCCTCCGATGAAGGAAGCAAGGTCTCTGTGGTTGGGCTACCCGAGACCACCACCACTTTGGCGGGCGCAATCTTTTGGCGAGCTATAGCATAGAGTCTATACTAGGTCGTTACACTCTATGGTTGGCCCGCACGCGCAAAGCCCTTCTTTCCTCACAAAGACCATAGAAGGAGGGGTATGCGCAAACGCTCTGTGTCTCTCTGAGGAGGACGTCATTATCCCGCCTCCTGGTAAAAGGAAGCAGCGCAACGCCTGCGCTCTGAGGGCTTTCGGGACTTATTTCACGCTGCGGACGACGGTGACGTGATGAGTAGTCAAGCAACGGAAGCCGGGAGGGAACTAGGGCGGAAGGGGATCAGGGGCCGGGATTGTGTTCGGAGCCTTGGGAGTTCCGATGTGGTCCCCGGAGCGGGAGGCCGAGGCCCCGGCCGGGGGAGACCCGGCGGGCCTCCTGCCCCCCGAGTGGGAAGAAGATGAGGAGCGTATGTCCTTCCTGTTCTCCGCTTTCAAGAGGAGTCGCGAGGTGAACAGCACCGACTGGGACAGCAAGATGGGCTTCTGGGCGCCGTTGGTGCTGAGCTACAGCCGCCGCCAGGGGGTGGTGCGCCTTCGTCTCCGGGACTTGCAGGAGGCCTTTCAGCGCAAGGGCAGCGTCCCGTTGGGGCTGGCCACAGTGCTGCAGGACCTGCTGCGGTGAGGGGCGTGCCGGGGCCCGGGACGCGGGCGGGGGGGGGCTCCCCAAGGGACAGTCCTCCCCTCCTGTCTGTGACAGCGCACCGCGCCCAGCCCAGGCTGTGGCCCAGAGTGTGCAAAGGAGGAGGCACACACGGAGGTCGGGGCACGGGTGTTTGGAGGGATGAGCTCGGGAGGCTGGGATAGTCCAATTAGACGCGTTCCACATGTCACCAGCCCAGCGGTGCTGACAATGACTTGTGTGAACTGAAATCCCGTTGTGTAGTTATTACCTAAGGGCTTCCAATTTTGAGTTGCCTGTGTAGCACAAGGTCTTTGGGTTCACTGAACTAAGGAAGATTGAGCAAAGAAGTGTTTGTGTGTAAGGGAGCTGTAGTGATCTTGCCAACAACTCTGGCACAGGCATGTGCCTGGCCTTTTCTGGCCTGTCTTTGGCACAGACTGTTGGAGCAGAGAGGACATGAAGGAAGATGAGGGCTCACCTGAGTGCCAGGGCACCCTGAAGAGGTCCATAGGTGACACATGCGTGAGTACGTACAGTATTTTGGAGGTGCCTGAGTAGGTAACATTGATACCTAGTAGATGACAGCGCTTAACAGTATGCAGATAGTTTTCATCTGATTTTTTCAGCAGCCTTAGAAAAGAGATAATAAAATTCACCATGTAAAACACATGAGGAAACCAAGTCTCAGAGAACAAGTGACTTATTGAGGGTTACATAGCTAGTTAGAAGTCATCTCAGGACTAGCTTCCTACTTCTAAGTCATTTCCACGTCTCACTGTATGCATCATACTAGGCCCAGTACCTAGCATGGTACTTTCCTCAGTGAATGAAGGAGAAAATCAACCCTTGACAGTTTTTAGCTTACTACTCTTTCTGATGGAAGGGTCTGGCTCCTCTACTTCTGTTCTTAGTACCGTTCCCTTGGCTAACCTTGATGTACAATACAAGCCTTTCTGAAATTCTCCTTTCGAACAAAATGTACTGTGGAGAAAGTTTTGCCTCATGCCTAAAGTGGAGACAGTAGCTGAACGAACCAGTGGGGAACGAGCAGAGTGGTTCTTCTTATGGCAGGACAGTCTTATATCACTTCCAATCTGAAGACCTTTAACACCTTAATCCCTCCTCTCCCGAGTGATGGTTCTTCACTGAAGCTGCCTGTTGCCTGTCTGAGTCTGACACCTGAAAAATTTGTAAGTGAGAGATTTCCCCCACAGATGCAGTGCAACATAGTAATGAACAGCTTTGCATGAGGGCTCTGCCAGTTGTTAAATTACATGGCCCTGGACAAATTACATGCCATTTTTAGTCCCTGACTTGGTTCATTATAACATGGTAGTGATAATTGTACTTACATCTGTTGTGAGAATTTGAAGATCTTCACATAGCTCTTAACATAATAGCTTCAGTGTATTTAGCTGCTGTTGTGTTACAGAAACCAATAATCTTATGTCCAGCTTAGTTTAGGGATAGCAGGAAGCCCTATCTCTGTACATCTTTGTGTCCTTCCCTATGTCTTACACTTGACAATGATCCATTATTGCTACTTTCATTTTATTGCTTTGAGCTCCATTTGTAAAAGTAAAATGCAATGCAGGCGCAGTAGCTCCTGTGTCTGTGGAGTCTTAGTTGAGCTGAGCACTTGTGTTTGGACCAGACAAATCCTGACTTCTATGAGGCTTTCCTCTTTACCCTCTCAGGGCCTCGGTTTCCTCATTGGTTACCACACTAGTGACTCTGTCTGTCTTGTAGAGGGGTTAAGAGGCTGAGTGCAGTGCCTCTCCAAGTAGCTGGTGCAGAGTAGATGCCCAATAAATGGGTGCTGTGATGACAGAATTTCTCTTTGGGCAGAAGGGGGCAGGTGGGGACTGGAATGGGCCATTGCATTAAGCACTGCCCTGTGCCTTTTTCTTGCCCTGCAGTCGAGGGGAGCTGCAGCGAGAGTCAGACTTCATGGCCAGTGTGGACAGCAGCTGGATCTCCTGGGGGGTTGGTGTCTTCCTGCTGAAGCCCCTCAAGTGGACTCTGTCTAACATGCTGGGGGACAATAAGGTTCCCGTTGAGGAGGTGCTTGTGGCCGTGGAGCTGCTGAAGGTGAGTGTGCAGAGGGAAGGGCTGGGGCACCCTCGTGATGACAAGAGTCTCTGCTGGGTGCGTTCTTGGGGGAGATTCTTTCATGGTGACAGAGTTTACCCAGCTTCCCTTTAGTTGTCCTTTGCACCATTATTATTTGTTACTCTTGATCCTTGGCTAGGAATCATCTGTAACAACAGTTGATTGCTTCCTGGTATTTGTAAGGACTGTTGATAAGTGAAAATTTAGGAACCGTTTTGCCTTCTGTATTTTACTGTAAGAAATCCCCAGGATTTCTGAGGATCTTGTGACTTTCAGCTTTGCCCACCACTAAATTAGCAGACAAGGGGCTGATTTCCTACTCTGAATCTGCCTGTTTCCCCTTCCAGCTTGCTGAGGGCTGCCTTGCACCATCCCTGCTCTTCTGCCTCGAAGTGGCCCTCAGGGCTTGGTCCTGTCCTCCCCTCCTGCTCGGGCTGCCTTCTCCGCCCAGCCCACTGTACTCTGATGGCGTGGCAGGGCCCTCGGTGCATTGCAAGTTGCCTCCCCGTTCCCCCCGGAAGACTCGCAGCCAGCCGTTGGCCTGTGCCACTCGGATGGGGCCCCGCTCATGGTCCCCAGCTGTAGGAGGGCCCTTGGCCACTCTGCAGCCCACTTCCACCCCTCCCACTGCTCTTCCACTCCTGTCCTCTTCACTCACTGTAGATACCATAGAGAAGGTGGCCTTCTAAGCCTGCCTTCCACTTCCTGTCCTGCCGCCCGCAGTTCTGCCTCCTCTGAGCTCTCTGCCTCCTATGCTCGCTTGGAGGGTGGAGTAGCCTTCTTTTCCACATGTGCTTCTGAGTCTGCCCCACCCTTCCTGACCCTGAGTCCCATCAGCCTTTGCTCTCTTTATTTTGTCTCTCTTCTGATGCTTTCTTCCTTAGCTTCAACCCACCCTTGCTTTCCCATCGCAGGTTGACTCCTTTATGGTCTCTGGCTCCTGCTGGCTACTGCTCTGTCTCTCTCTCTCTTTGTCTCACTCTGAAATACAGCAGACCTGCTTCAGCCCCACTGTGCCACCGAGACTGCTATGCACAGGGTTATGAACCCTAAGTGGCAGTGTGTTTATGAAGTTGACTGAACACGAAGTAGCTAAAGTGGGCTGCAGATGGTGGTTAGTTTTGAAATCCACAGACCAAGCCCATCCTCAGGGCCTTTGCAGATTCCTAGAGGTCTCTGCACGGCAGGTGCAAGCTCAGACTCCCATCCCTGAGGGAAGTGCCAGTTTCTCCTCACAATGACAGACCCCAGTGCTCCCTGCATTACACTGAGGCTTCCTGTTCACCCAGACTTTTGACCAATGACCCACATTTTCTTTTTTTTTCTTTTTTTTTAGCCCAAGAGTCTTTATTTAATTATCTTAACAAATTTTTAGATAAACTATTAGAGCCAGATCATAACAATTAACACCTTATTTTTGACCAATGAGAGATTTTTGAGATATTACATAGAGACAACAACATGTACTGTATTTGTAAAACCAGTTGACATTATTTGGATCATCTGGCGACCTGGGAGAAGCATGTCATTAGTGACATTTATCTATAGTTACAGGCAAACGTCTTAAAAAAATCCAAAATGTAAAAGAAAAAAGCTCAAGCATAACAGCTGTACGTGTTGTAACAAACTGAACAGCCAGACACACACACACATAAGACAACTTGTTTATAAACCAGAGTGCACTCAGATGTACTTGGCCAAATTGAATTGTAATAACTTTTATAATTTTTAGGTTTATAATTATAAAAAAGACTAGTCAGGACTTTGTAGATCAATTAACAGAGATGTCTTGTAATGAGAATCAAAAGGAATAAAAATCTTTTATACGTGTGAAAGCAAAAACAGTTTTAAGATGGGCCCTAAGCTGACTGGAATACTCAGCTACATAGGCTTCTCATGGTTGTTTTGATAACCATAGTTGTTTCCTCTATAGGTGCAAACTGTTAAAGGTCATTTAACTATCTCCAGTGAGGGTCTGCCCAGGCCAGGTTTGCATGTAGAAGAGACGAGGTGACACTCTTTGGAGCTAAGTATGAATTTTTTTGTAGTGAGGGAAGAAGGTCTGCCAAGGCTCCAACCTGCTGTGCTGCAGATGTCTACCTAGGACAGCTTTTCCCATTTTGAAAAAAACAACAACAAAGGAAAAGAAGGAGTCTCCATCTATCCCTCTTGTTCTGTGCCCAATCTAAGGTGCCTCTTAGACTTTATCTCGGCCAGTGCCAGTGGCGGCTGGCTAGAGGTGTAAGGAAGTGGCCAGAGCCGGGTTAGCTGTTCTTACCGTTCTCTAATTTTGCCTGAGGGCTGAAAGGCAGATAAATCTGAACTAAAACTTACATTTATTTTTGAGAGTTTCAGGATTAAACCTAGACCAGTTTTTTTATATGGCTCAGTGATAAATGAAGGTCAGCTTTACTGTGGAAGGATTCCTGGGAGGGGAAACTCATCATTCTGGAAGCTTTGTCTTGAAATCCAGCAGCCACAGAAGAGGGAAGTGCCTTGAATCAAACTGCATTATTTCTCAGGGCCAGGGCAGTGGAGAAGGGACAGAAGAGTGCCTTTAAGTATGGCACGAGAACGAAATCTTAACCATCTCAGGTGTAGAAGGACAGTTAAGATCAGGAGCTTTTTCAGAGTGGATCTGTGATCCTTAGCAAAATATGCCTCTAGAGGCAAAAGACATGATTGATTCCAACTGAATTGCCAAGCAGAAAATCAAATCAATAATCAAAAAACCTGAATGGCTGGTTTTTGCCTCTTGAAAGAGAATGAAAGTGTTTTAACTATATTGTTTGGGGCTTACCCTTTTAATGAATTACTCTGAATCTGTAATATCTAATTTATGATTGAAATACGCTACAGGCTGTTGAGCAGGTCCCTGGTCTTGTAGAAACACTCCCAAAGCCAGGTCTCACCTTTTATTAACATACAAACTGGAACAGTGTCCTGTAGGCAGGCACTTAGAAGTGCTTGTTTGAGCTTCTGGAATGCGGTCTGGGAATAAGGTTTCCAGGTGTCTGTCTCTTGTGACCCACATTTTCTCTACCTCTCTCCCTGTCCACACCGTGGCCTTGTTCTGCAGGCCCCAGTCATGGTCCCCACAGCGACCGCAGGGTGGGCTGGGTGGTTCTGGGCCAAGCTTGTGTCCTCTTTGCAGACTTACCTCGAGTGTTCTCCAACCTGGAGTGAAGAAGAGGTAGGTCCATTGGCCCTAGAGATGTAGGTTTGGACTCAGTCTGTTTGAGATCAAAAGGTGGACAATGGCAGTCAAGTGGAGTAGAATTATAGGGCTCTGTGGAAATCAGAAATAGTCTGTGACAGCAATGTTGTCTAGTTCTATTTAGGTAGAAAGTAAGCGTTAAAGCCAGGCACAGCGGTGTATGCCTATAATTCCAGCATTCTGGGAGGCTGAAACAGGAGGATCCCAGGTTTGAGCCCAGCCTGGGTAATTTAGCAGCTTAGCAAGAACCTGACTCAAAATAAAAATTTTAAAAAGACTGGGGATGTAGTTCCTTGCGAAGGCCCTGGGTTCAATCTCTGGTACCACGAAAATAACAAAGAATAGTAAGTCCTCACACTCTCAAGGGCACAGTACTGCTAAATTGCTGCTCACTTCACTATCTGGACACCTCATGATTTGCTCAAGTAGTTGGTGACTCCATTGTTTTCTTGGGCAGGGCCAGGGGGTGGGTGTATGGACCTCCTTACATTTGTGACAGTGAAGGGTCTTACCTGGGTGTAGAAGAGAAAGAAGCAGATGTAGAGAAAAAACCTGCGGGTGAGGGAGATTGGTTTTCCTAAGCCCAGACATGGAATATACCCAATAACTTTTTACTTTCTTTTAAACAGTCCTGAAAATACACAAAAAAGCAAAAATTGCCCATGATTTTGCTTTGAAAAAAAGTATACAGAGAATGGAAAGTTTCCATTCTGTTTATCCCATTCTATTTCTTTGAGTATGTTCCTTTCCCATTGGTCGTGTGTGTTTGCAGTCTTTTCCCATCGACCCTATCACACTCTGCCATATTGCTTTCCATTCTGTTTTGTTAATTAGCATTCACTACTAAAACATCTTACTTGTTTGTTCTCTGAGTACCTTTTATTAATGCTGCATACCATTAATCTGTTTGTGTGTGGACACCATACAGTCCCGTCCACAGAAGCTTGATAGGTTCTCATCTGATGGGACAACCAAGTCTAATGGAAATTAAGTCACTGTCTTATTGGACTCTCCCGCCTTTGACACTTTTGCCCACTCACTTCTCAAAATTTCCCTTTTCCCTGAATTTGTTCCATTGGGCAGCAGGTTCCCTCTGTTCCCCCTGAGTGGTCCCGCTGGGTCCCTTGAGGGACCCTCCACTGCTTAAATATTGGTCTTCCTCCACTCGGCACTTTCCTGCCCAGTTTCCTTGGCCATCTCACTTACATCTGTGATCACAGTCATCACCATGTGCTGAGGGCTTTCAGAGTTCTCTCTCTGTCCAGGTGTCTCCTTGGAGCTTCAGATTGTCTGCTGTACCTGCCTTCTCAGATGTCCTCAGGTATCCCGACCCGCATGTCCCAAGTGGGATGTTTTGTCTTTCCTTTAAGATGGGCTTTCCTTCTAGATCTTTGCTGTTAACAGCATCATGTCTACCAGGCATTCAGGTTGGAGTCTAGACCTTCCTCTTTCTCCTTCAACCCTGCACTCAGTCACATGGACTGCCACTTTTATCCTCTGCATCTTGCTGGAATCCACCCTTCCCTCTCTATTGCAGATTCTCTCTGTTCAGCCCCATATCTTGTCTTGCATAATGGTGCCCGCCTCCAGTGGTAGCTCCACAGTCCATCTTTGCAGTTGTCAGCCAGCTGGCGCAGTCTAGCCATGGCGGTCCCTCCAGCAACTGCCCACCTTCTGCAGAAAGAAGGACAGCAAATAAGATGCTACTCTTCACGTCACCTAGAACTGTTCCTGCTCCTCTTTCTTGCCCTCCTCGTGACAGATCCGCCATACTGACTGTCACTTCTCTGCACCTCTGCCCAGGATCTCCCACCATCCCCTTCACCACGTAACCATAGTACCCCTCAGGCTTCCGCTCCACAGGCTTTTTGTTTGGTTTGGTTTGGTGCTGGGATTGAATCCAGTGCCTTGGACCTGCTGCTCCCACTTCAACACTGAGTTGCACAATCCCAGTCCACCCCATTTTAAGAAGTCTCAGAATCCTCGGGTTTCCTTCTGTGTATTCTCATGGCTTCCTCTGCCTCCCTCAGTAGATATTTGGCTGCAGAAGTGATTTCCACATCTGAGGGAATGTAGCATCATGTCTTGGAGCTTCTTTTTCCTAGTTTCCCACTAACCCTGCCCTCCTGCTCCTCATCACATACTTTGCTCTTTAGATTCTTTTTTTTTTTGGTACCGGGGGTTGAACTTGGGTCCTTGTGCTTGCGCAGCAGACGGCGAAACCACTGAGCTAAATCCCTGGCCCTGCTCTTTAGATTCTTTATAAGCTCAGTAACATCCATGTCTGTGGTCTCGACAATTGTCTTGAAAAAGAAGAGGCTGAACTGGACAGGGAATAGGGAGTGTAAGTGTCATCTCATCTGTGTGGCTCTTCCGGTTGTGAGTGGGACACCAAGGACCCGTGAGCCTGATGGTGCCGGGTCACGGGGCCAGCAGAAGTCAGGCTCTGCTCTGGTTCATGGCTGCTTCCACCACATCCCGCTCCTCTTTCCTCCACCGGAGCACAGCCAGGAGAGGCAGACACAGAGTCCCAGGCGGACGTGCGAGCATGGAGCTGGCATTTCCCGTGCCTCATTTCATACAGTCCCCAGCTTACCTCCCAGGTTGGAAGAAAAAGCAAGCTCTTTTTCCTTTGTTAGGAGTGACAGCCGTAGGGAGGATGGGGTTGCTGCTCCCTGGTTCTTGCCTTGCCATGGTTCTGAGGCTCAGGGCCAGGTTTCACCCCATCCTGTGCTGGTGACCAGGCCTGTGATCCCCTTTGCCCTCCCTGCAGGAAAAGGCCGAGGAGGTGTATCGCCTGTACCAGCACTCACCCTTGTCCTCCCACCCCGTGGTGGCCCTGTCGGAGCTCAGCACCCTGTGCGCCAACTCCTGCCCGGATGAGAGGACCTTCTACTTGGTGTTGCTGCAGCTGCAGAAGGAGAAGCGGGTCACGGTCCTCGAGCAGAACGGGGAGAAGGTAGGAGCCCTGTTCATTCACTCCTTTCACACAGTGGCTTGCTTGGGCCTGAGGGAGGGCAGCAGTGATGCATCCCTTTGCCGCAGATCGTGAAGCTTGCCCGGGGGCCACATGCCAAGGTGTCCCCTGTGAATGACGTGGATGTTGGGGTGTACCAGCTGATGCAGAGTGAGCAGCTCCTCTCGAGCAAAGTGGAGTCCTTATCCCAGGAAGCCGAGAGGTGAGTAGTCCCTCCCCAGCAGGCTGTCCCCAGAGCCCCTGGTATTAACTGTTCACTGCTTACAGAAGTACTCACTGCTCCATACAGAAACCTCGGCAAACACAGGGTGTCACAGAGCAGCGAGGGAGCGTGAATTCTGCCTATGGAGATGACAGTTTCTAGCATGTTACTTCTCTTCTTCCGTGGCAGTGTCTGTAGCCAGCATTTGTTGAGCTGAGTGTCATTTTAGGGGTGGGGGTACAGCAGTGAGCAGGGCCCTCAGTGCCTTCACAGGGCTCTTTCCAAGGGACCCCTTCTCTTCCCTGGGTCCGTGGTAACAGCCACGGATACGTCTCTGAGAGGAGAACAGACAGACAGTAAGTTGGAACTTGTTCAGTCTCCTCTCAGTGAGGAAAGTGCGTGCCTGCCACAAGGCGACAAGACATGGTCAAGGTCAATGTAGGACTCAACGTTAGGTCAACGTTAGGAATCAATCCCGGCGGCCCCAGGCAGAGATGCGTTCGCACTTTCTGTCTCCGAGGTGCACCTGCCTCTGCTTGGTCGGCCAGCTTCCCACGTGCACCTGTGCAGCCCTGAGCCTCACTTGCTGCCCGGGTCGGAGCGGGTTGCTGGCTTCCTTGCCTTGCTGTGGGGAGGGGTGGGTTTGATCTTCAAATCCCAAACCACTTTCACTCAGTATGGCTCTCAGGGATTCTTTGGGACCCTGCCACCCATCCCATGGCACAGTCCTCTGCATCTCTCTGTTGTTTTCCCTTAATTTCTTTGATTGGAGCATTTTAGGTATACAGCACATTTACGTTTCTCACTGGGAAGTGTACCTTTCATGATGCATCTTGGTTCTTATCTTTTCCCCATTCCTAGCCCTCCCTTCACGCCCTCCACCCTTCCCTATTTACAAAGACTTTATATCCATTTTATCCATTTCTCATCATTTTTCCTTTCCCTTCTTTCCTTTCCCCTACCCCTCCCACTTCCCGTAGCCCTTTGGATCTTTTCTTCCTATTTCACATTATCAATTATTCATTTTCATCATTGGTACATTTTAGGTGTACAATATACTGACATTCATCATTGGAAATTTGCACCTTTACATAATCTCTCTTGGTTCTTATTTTTCCCCTT